GAGAGAGCTCACAAAGGAGAGTTAATTTCTCCCCGAAGAAATATCCGAGGCGATATCTCTGACGCGTGTCGCGATACGCGTCAATTAGTAATTTCAATCATCGCTACTCTCGAGCAACAAGAACGAGCATCATTGATTCTGTTGTTTCGCCTTGACTATCGCGACCAACGACACGTTTATTCCACTGAACGGACGTGAAATCATTTGCATGCCATTCCGCCTGGCCAATCTCGATGTCGCTGATATATTTGCGATGCTTTCAGAGGTAAAAGGTCAATTGATAATCACGTGTCGGCAGTCGCTTCGGTGGCAGCATAGAACTGCTCTAAAAAAGTCGTTTCTTCGATTTCTTTCAATAAAACGCTAGTCGACTTTCTACCGCGATGTTTTATCCTCGAATGTTATTTAAGAATATCTAAGCATTGTTTACAAATGCTACGTACAAGTTATTCTTCTTGAATTTTGTTCCATTGATTTGTTAGAACATTTATTATACAAAGTGGCGTACGTAGAGCTTCAAACGAAGAATATGGTTGACTCGTGCGATAATGATCTGTTTTGCAAAACGGAAACGGGATTATATGGTGTCACGGATACAAATGTGTATGTCAGGAATGCAATGGCATAATTACGTTCGATCGATCGGTTCTAAATCACGTAACGTCATTTCAATTACATAAGTGATCTTGTGGCTAAAGTGTTAATTCAATCCGTAATAACAGATCCGAGAAACGACGTTCGATAGCGCCATTCCTGACATTTCGCCTTGAACGCTCACGGCTACGAACGTTTATCGGCGTTTGCTCGCCGAGACTTCGCGTCGTGAAATAATTTCTATATTTAGTTACGCGCGGCGCACAGTCGCGGGCTTCGGCGTGTGCGATCGACGAATTCAGGAAAAAAAGGACGAGTCATCGAAACACCTAGGGGACGCGTCATGATTCGGTCGCGGCTATTTCTTCACTTTTCCGTATGTGCACACGCGCGCTCGTGACTGAGTTCACCTCTTAAAGACACGAGCGCGAATGCAGTCGCGCGATGAATCATGCGATGCATGCCCGCTGACATTTGTACACTCTTACTTTGGGCTTCTTCACTAAGCTCTCAGGATCGTGTCTCAAGTAGTTGGAATAAAATGGCACCTTCTTTATAGCGTTCTAGGATAAACCCGTTGTCGGAGTGATAATCGAGTACAATTATAAAAATGAAGTACAAATGGTCGTCACGCGAGGATACGGTGCGAAGAAAATAAGCGACACATTAATTAAAGTATGATGATTCATAGCATGGCATGAGATGCAAATGATAACGGAGTCTCTGAGCAAACTGAAGTAATATGGCTGCTTTAAGTGATACCAGAAACAGATTTTTGCACTTTGAGGCTAATTTTAATTACTAATACCTGATATTGTAAAAGTTTTTAAACTGAATATTCAGAGGTACATTGAATTAACAGCGTCTGCATATCAATGAACTATCTTGATATTTCTTGCGTCTGTGATTTGAAGAAGAAATAATCTCAGTTGAAAGTAACAAGCGTTAATGAGAATGTGAGATTTGAATTGATTGCGCCTAAGCAACGAGTTGTATTTTAAAAGTTTAAAAAAATCGAGAACAAGCAGTCGCCTGAAATTCAATTTCCTGTGAGATTCACACGGCAAGTCCCGCTCGCGCCGCAGGGATTGCATGCGATTGTAATCGCATGACATTTTTTTTAGGAATGATAAACGAGACCAAGCTTGCATGAATATTTACGGTTGAGGATATATGAGAGAGATTACGCTGGTGGTAATGGCACATTGTGCGGACCTTAGAGCGTTCGTAGATTAGGTAGGATCGGATGCGCGAGAGCTCGCTGCTCCCAATCATATGCATGAGACCACAACGGGAGGTCGGATTTCGATTCAGTCTTCTACGAAGCAAGACTCTTTCAGTCCGCGCTTAATCTTTGTTCGTATACTATTAGAATCATTACACGCTTAAAATTCATTTGTTTATACAACTTAAGCCTGGTTGCACCAACATTACTTTGGCTTTAAGCGAAACTTAAACATATATCTATCTTTATCTTTCTTTCTAAATAAATAAAGACGTATATTTAAGTGTCGCTTAAAACCAAAATAACGTTGGTGCAACCGGGCCTTAGATCTTCACTTTCTTATTGGTTGTTCCGGTAATATGAAATATTTTGATACTGGAATGTACAGTAACGAATGATTGAAGACAGAAAAGAATGGATGGGTTGATTGGGCAAACCTTTAGGTTACTGTACAAAATCACTAAATGTTACAAGCAAGTGGACTTGCACGCGCAGCTAAGAAATTACACGCAGAAGTAATCTTCAGACCGCTCACGGAAAAAGCTCTTTTTTGTTGATATTATCTTGGTTGTTGTGGCAAATCATCTTGTATTTACAAATAATTTGAGTTTGCGAAACGAATCCATTAATTTTGCCGACTTAATTACTGTGACATAAAAGACTGGCTGTCCGTATATTACGACTACAGATTTACAAAGCTATCGAGAGTTTCATGTATTAAAAACAAATTCTTCTTATCCGCGAACGGTTATTGTCGCGGTACTATATTTCTTTTGAGTCTCAACTATCAAGATCTCGTGAGCCGTTCAAGTGTGAACTTGCTCATTGAGAAAAGCCATGAAAGGAGAACATCGCGTAGCGATAGTATAGATCAAACCTACGGATTACAAAAGTATTAATCAGAGCGGCACACGGGAGTGACGAGCCACCCACGCACGCAATACATCGCAGTCACGACGATGACTTAATCGCCAGCTAATCCTACATCGCGTAGTGCCCCATGCGACATGGACATATCGATCTCTGCTCCCGAAACGTGAATAAAGCTTGATTGAAACAGAGAAACGTCGGAAGAAACACGGAATAAGAGGATCTGCTGCAGCAGCAAACTAATTTGCTATGTATGAACAGTTAAACATAATTCACTGTGTTAGCTATTTTTTCTTTGTTGCAGGAATCTATGATAACAAGAAAATCTGCTCATATAGCAAGAAAAGTGTCTAACGTAGCAAATTTGCTACAAATGAACAACTAAACATAATTTACTGCTTCAGCTACTTTTTTGTTGCAGAAGCAGATTTTCTTGTTATCTTAGCAAGGAAAATGGTTAACACAGCAAATTATGTTTATATTTTTTTTTTCCGTTTATATCTTTTTTTTTCCGTGAACAAGATAACAAAATAGCTGAAAGAAATGGTGCGAACGTGAAAACAGTAAACAGTGAAGTAAAATTGACAGATCGAAATTCAATATCCTCGTTGATTCTTCAAAAAAGATGCTCGTAATTTCATGCAAATTCTATATGCGACATTGGACTATCCAGGAGCGAGCGATAGAGCTCAAACCTTGCAGTCGAGATTGCAGGTAGCCGTGGTCGTTAACAAATCAGGGATCTCATTCTATTTTGGGAAATTAATGATGATCGAGTGCGTCAATCCTCGTGAACGGTGAATTAACGAGGGCGCGCGAGCGCTCGTAAAACTCGTACTAGGCTTGCCTAAATATAAAATCGCCCACGATACCTCCCGTAAGACTCATGCGAGCGGACTTCCCGAGGCTCTCTCGACGACGATGTCGTCTCGGTCGATGTTTCATCGTTAACGCAATGACGCTTCATTAAAGGATTTCGTCTCAAAAAATATTGATCTAGCATGCACGTACGAAAAGTGCTAATTCCTTTATACCCGATCCTGTCCGTGTACGAAGTAATTTTGCGCGTTGGCGCCGATTTTCCCGCGGATTTAACGATACACGCGACACTGCTCTTCGACTTTTGCCATTGGAATGGCGCTTCTAAGGACTGTAACCGTAGCACAACTTCCCCGAGGGACTATCGCTCGTTACTGGGATATCCGCGATAAAACATGAGGGCATTCCGTTTTGTTTTGCTTGGCAGAATTCGTATCGTTCGTGCTCGAAAGTCGAGATATAACCGTCAAAATGACGCGGATATTCTGAACTACACGGGAAAAAAAGATTTGCTAATATATGGACAAATAAAAATATTAGCTGCAGGAGCAAATTTTCTTGCTTTCATAGCAAAGTTATTTAGCTATCACAACTAAATAACTTTGCTATAAAAGCAAGAAAATTTGCTCCGGCAGCTAATATTTTTAGTTGTCCATATATTAGTAAATCTTTTTTTCCGTGTAGGGCCACGGAGATTTCTTTTATAAGAGGTTAACACATAACTTTTCGACTTATATATATATATATATATATATATATATATATATATATATATATATATATAAATGAAAAATATCAAATTATTCTGCGAGATATATTACTATCATAAGTTTATTGGAGATATCGAGATTAGAAAAATTCAAAATATTTGTTAAATTGCTTTTTATAAAAAATGTAGTGAGTTAATAGTTAATTAATCGTGCGACGAGTCAGGCATATAGCCAACATCAATTTGCACACAAGAAGTGCAATCGTCTCTTATTAGACATATATTAATGCAATATCTTTCCCCGTATCTTCTTCCTCAAGACCTCCCGTGTGTTATCGGATTACGTTAATTTCCACGAAGTCTCATGACTAATATTCTCCCTGTGAGACACCAGTAATCGTTAATTTCTCCCCACAATCTCCACGCTATCGTGAAACCGTGTACTTTCTCAGATACTCCTGACTTACCACGATTCGTCAGCATGTGAATTTCATTTAGGCCTCGAATCGTTAACTCTAATCGGAACTAAATAGGAATGTCCGTTCCCTGATATAATTGTAAAACCAATTTACAGTCATATGTACAATAAGACCTTGATTTCGTCCAAGTATATGAACGAGATATATTCCGAAATAACATAGAAATGATTATCGAAGTGTTCAATTGATGGCGATCGATTTACCGGCGATACGACGTCGAAATCGGTACCAAGTGCAGTGTAAGTTGTACGAAGCGAACACAGACTGTTTACAAATTATCACAGCAATAAGAAAGAGAACCCACCATCCGCGGCCGTATCTGTCGCGATACGCCGACACTGCGAAACCAAACATAGACTTCTCCTCCTTGTGATACACTGCGTAATGTTTCGTCTCGACGTTGAAGCCATCGGCGAAGTGCCAGATCGGCAATTCGACGGCGACCAGGCCGATGAGGCACCAGAGAAACTTCGTCAACCGCATCTCATCCACCAGATCGACGCGTCACCGATGAGCGCACTATGAACACCCCGTCACCGTGTCGAGTCACTTTCATATATGAAGAACCGATCGTGGAAGTCGAGGAGGACGGCACACACGCGACACGGGTATATCGGGACCGACGATCGTGAATCTATATTAATGTTATTACGTGGGCAGCCGCGAGTTAGCCGGTAGCAGCTGCACCAGCCGACGACATGTGTGTTCCACGAGGCCCTCTAGACGCGGCAGGCAAGGACGACCGGGAGGGAGCGAACGCCGATGGATGCTTGACGGACGACCGCGGACAGACTGAGTGGAGCACGGTTCTTTCGGGTAGTCTTCACTCACTCCGGCTCTCGAGGGCCGGAGAGACTCCCACCCACGGCGCTGTGCCGGAGCACTCTAGCAGTGGCACCGCAACGACGCCCGGCATCGTCGATTTAGACGTCGCCGAGGCGACAAACTGATCGCCATCCATCTCCGACTCCAACAGAGACAGATGATGTATTTAATTTTTCTATGATGTTTGGAATACTCTCTCTTTCTCTCTCTTCTCTCTTTACGCGGACGAAAGTGATTTTTGTAGAATTCTATTGCAGATATGACTGTCAATCGTCAACAAGTCGCAAAATGATATTTTTCGCACACCGAGAAAAAATTGGATAAAAGTAATTGTTTCAGCGTTACGTATAATGAAGGAAAAAATATCTAAGAAGTAAAAGATATTTATCCGGGACATGAGTATTATATATAATAATGTGTTTATTTATATAAAATATTCTTCAGATAAAAAAATATACATTTTCTTAAAACCTTAGCTTTTCATAAAAGCAATCGTTTATTTTATTTAAATAAAAAAATGCAAATTTAAATAAATATATTATTAGTACAAAAGGAAAAAAACAGTATAACTGGCCCATTGAATAAATATTTTTTTATTTTTAAATATTTTTCTCTGAATGCGGTGTTGAACGTTAATTGATTAAAATTTTTTTGACTTTGAAATAATCGATAAATCAATAATCAAAATTAATCAATACGTTTATATCAATATGTATAATACATAATCTACAATATATGTAATCATAGATAATTTACTTGATTGATAACATTAATTATTAATAAATGTATAATTAATTATATCAATTTGACTAATAATTAATTTCATCAAGCGATGAAATTATTTGTGATTTTGTATGTGATGATTAATTTTGATTATTGATTTCCCAATTATTTCGGTCAAAGAGAATTTTTATCAATTAATGTCCAACACTGGGGTTATGTAGTTTTATTGCACAAATTGCAATCGAGTTAAAATAAATAGAAGATCGTGTTAGATCAAACCAATATACGAATTGTATACTTATAACAGTTTGTTCCGCAAGATGTTCAATTTTTCGCGACTAATCGAATGATATTCTGTCACGACAAACACACGAAGCTTATTTCGACATTCCGGTATTTTCGATGAAACTTCGTGTGAGACTTCGGCGAGTTTTCGAAAGCGTAAAAACACAACAATTTAAATTCTGAGTTATCCCCATATAACACAAATATTCACTAAATATTCTAAGAACGTTCTTAGGATATCTATTGAACATGCTGTATGGGTCATAACCTGATAAGCATACAAAACTTTGTTCACCATTCCACGGCGACTCATTCCACGAGTTATTGCCTTTCGATGACTTGTTAATGATACTTCACCATGATAAGCGTGTTACACTCACTCTCGACGTTTCCGACGACGATGATTCACACGTGAAACTCACTTTCGGCGAAATTAAAATCGAGGAATGTAAGGAGCAACTTTTCAAATGCGCATGCAGGTATGCACGCCATAATGCGTTCCAGAACGGTCCGTAATGAAGTGAGCGCATGCAATGGTGGCAATTTTGAAGGTGTCGATGTGTTTGATCTCGATTCGCAGCGCATATAAATTCTAAAATATGCCAATTATTAAGCGATACTGTTTTAGAAAAATATACAATAATTATATTGTAATTTACTAAAGTATAGAAGTATAGAATACAATTTTATTCAAAGTAAGATTCCCCCGTCTTATTCTTCAAAAATATAGACTGGTACTACGATATTTTTATCCACTAAGGCCCGTATTCTGAGTTCTCTCTTAACGATAAATGAGCCTCTAAAAGTGACTCATAGCCAATCAGAAAGCTTATAAGCCACTTTTAGAGGCTCATTTATCTTAAAAGAGAACTCAGAATATGGGTCTTAAAGTAAGGTTCCCGTAAGAAAGTTTTGTGCTTCTTGCGAAAGTGACTTCGAGTGCCATCTCGCGAGACTGATGCTCAAACTACTAACCAAAGTAACCAAGATAGAAATACTGCATTCTGTACGGCGCATTTCTAGTAATTCACTAGCTCGCATGCGATTTGATACGTTGGCTCTACTGCTCAGTGTATACATGTGTGGACTGCGTTCGGAAACACACTGTGTGCACACTACTAGACGATAGCCGTTGGAATGAGTGAAATATAAGAGTGAGATAAAAAGAGAGGGAGAGTACTCGAGTGACGTTTCCGAACGCAGCCAAGGTCTGTTCTTTTCAGCTGCACTGCTGAACTGGTGCAATAAGTTAAAGTGAGACAAGTATATGTTTTCTCACTCTAACTTATTGCACGAATTCAGCAATGCAGCTGAAAAGAACAGACTAATGATTTAAACATAAACTTAACCTAACCTAATAGTCTTCCTTCATGTTGTGGCACTTGGTCTGTTCTTTTCAGCTGCACTGCTGAACTGGTGCAATAAGTTAAAGTGAGAAAAAATATACTTGTCTCACTTTAGCTTATTGTACCAGTTCAGCAGTGCAGCTGAAAAGAACAGATCGACTGAGTACAGGCCTGGAAGAGAGGAGAGAGAGAGAGAAAACTTAATATAACCTTGTTTTGAAATTGTCTGGATTTGTGCTAAATGACCACAAATATCTATCCTCAGGGAAGGTCGAAAGCGCAGTAACTAATCACCAAACTTAAAAAAAAATCATCTGAATTTATGAATTTCGTGCGGTAAGTAACTTTTCTAAAAATCAATCAATACTAAAAAATTCGAGCGTATTTAATGTTTACATAGAGAAATAAAGGATACAATATCTAAATAAGAAAGAGAGAGTGTATGTTTATATAGTGATTGATGAAAACAAAATATAACTTAAGTTTATGTTCCTTGACAACAACAGCGCATAAAGGAATTTGAGATAAATGGCTTGGAAACTATAATTAGTGAAAATCAAGTGCAATTAGTATTGTTACGGATTAAAAACTCTTATGATGAATACTGAAACTTCCTTGGAATTAAATATAGTTCAAGACGATACAAATATTCTGATTCCTTCATATTTTAGTGTAAGTAATATAGACATTATTTAAGCAGCAATATTTTATGTGCATAATACAAGGAAAGATTGTAAATACTCTTTTAATATATAAATAAACAAATATATATATAAATATATATTTTATCATTCATTTCAGAGTTCTTCAAGAGAGTTGGAAGAAGCAAAAAATCCAAATATGTTTCAAGAAACAGAAAATGACATCACAATAAATGACAAAGAACTGAGAAATATAAATTTAGAAAACACACAATTGACAGATTCTTCCTGTTTACAAGAAAATGACATCGTTATAAATGACAAAGAACTGAGAAATATAAATTTAGAAGACACAAAATCGACAAATTCTTCCTGCTTACAATATGATTGGTCTATTGCACCAAAACTATTATATGTAGCTACAGAGGAATATGAACCTACAAACTCATCTGATTTGAAAATTCGTGGTTATTCGGGTGAAAATTTCCCAAAGGGATGCCAATGGTCCCCAGATGGAACATGTTTACTTGTACACTCAGAGAATTTTAAGATGTATATTTACGAGCTTCCTAGAGAATTCTATTCTAGCAAAGTACAACCTAATTTTATACCGAGCAATTTTGCACCTGCTCTAACACTTAGAGAAGGTGGACCTATATATGACACTTGTTGGTATCCCTACATGAATGCATGGGATCCTTCAACTTGTTGTTTTTTGTGTTCTAGTCAAGATTGTCCTACTCATTTGTGGGATGCAATCACAGGAAAACTACTTTCGACATATCTAGCATACAATCAGTTAGTACTATTTATAAAACGTAGATTCTTGTCTGTTTTCATCTGTTTGTTTGGGCACTATTATCTTTTGCAGTGTTGACGAGATAGAAGCAGCTATAAGTTTTCAATTTGTGAATTCAGGAAGCGAGATATGGTGTGGTTTTAAAAAAGCTGTAAGAATTTTTCAGACAAGTCGTTCTGGACGGCAAATAAAGAATATCTATTTTAAACATGATTTCCCAAATATGAGAGGACTGGTTTCGTGTATACGTGAAAATCCAACTATGTCAGGTCTCGTTGCTTTTGGTTCATATTCTAACTGCATTGGTACGCATCTCTGTGATATTTTGTATATTTTAATTACGTTTATTTCCACTATGACTTATTTCTTTTCTGCCCTTAAAGGTCTGTACAAAGATGAACCAATATGTACTTTTGAAACTAGTAGTGGTGTCACGCAAGTCGAATTTAGTTCTTGTGGAACAAAACTCTATTCTGCTGTTCGGAAAAACAATGAATTTTTATGCTGGGATCTTCGTAATCCCGGGACTGTTCTTTATTGTCTGGAAGGAAGGCAATGTGATACCAATCAAAGAATAAAGTTTTCCATTACACCTGACAATAAACATATAATCTCTGGTAAATTTAGCACAAGAGATGGTAAACTAATAAGTATATAATATGATATACTTTCTTCATTAATATTATATGTATTTTGTAGGCGGCAAAGATGGGAATATCACAGTATGGGAATTGCCAGACAATATTGCAGCAGATAACAATGAACATTTAGATCCAAAATGTAAAATAAAACTATCTACAGATTGTATAAATGGAATAAGTTTGCACAACAATTTACCTATGCTAGCAACTAGTTCCGGACAGAGAAAATGTGGTACCGAAAATTTGCAAAGAGACGACAGTGTGAGATTATGGTGGACTTCTTGATATCACTAATAGTATAAATATCTGTTTATTTGTATATTGACAAAGTGATGAAAACAGAAATAAGACTGCAAATATCTGTATGTAAAATAATATAATCCCTAGCACAGATGTTCAAGAGATGTCCAGAGTACGACCTGAGAATTTTCTAAGGAGATTTCTACGTCCTTAGGATATTTCTGGGACGTCTCCAGGAGATCTTGCACTGTGCAGGATATTATATTCATATACACACATTAAACTAGGAACAGAATATTTCAGATTAGTCCATAATTTTTTCTCCTTTTGTATATTCAATTATTTAATTTTTTTTCTTTTTCACAAAGACATATCTGGTAATTAATTTATTTTTAAGTATTTACAAAATTATGCATGTGATAAAAAATACTTTAAGAATATAAAATAGTATATTCGATAGTATTTTTGATAATTATATCAAACAACTTAGCTGATTCATCTGTTTTGTGTATATGTTAAGATATAAGTAAAGTAAGATGATAGTTTAATGTAGAAAAGAGAATAAATTAATTTTTCGAGACTTAAAAAAGAATTTTAGTTACAAGATGCTATTTCCTGTAATCTTATATTCTAAACGAAAACTTTAATTGAAAGAGTGTTTCTTTTCTAATGAAGTGAACTTCTATAACTTGAAATCTATTAGATATTTTTTCCCCTTTTAAATTATGTAGTTGTTTAAAGCAGAATGTCTACATTCTAAAAGAAATTTCTACAAGAACAAGACGAAAGACGAATGCACAGTTAATAGAAATCAGCGCGGCATTCTTCAAATCGTAATTATCGTTGATCTCAAGGATCGTACAGCGATCGATATCAAGGATGCAAACACGGCCGTCAAAAGTACGGCTAGATTCTCTTTCACTGTATGCGGAATTGTGCATTCAAGCGGACATTCTTGCATTCGGGGGATAGCGTTTATCGGCATCATGGATGCACCCTTTGAAAACACCGGCAGTCAGTTTCCTAAAATTTCGGGAGGTAATCTTGCAGAAACTATTTCTGCCGCGATACGAATGCGCGATTATTCCGGAAAGAATTTTATTCGCCGGTACACAGACGCTGCTATCGATAGGCGGATTATTAAACATCCTCGCGCTCTCTGTAATAATCTTCAGTAAATGTAGAGAATTATAGACCACAGAGAGAGAGAGTGAGAGAGAGAGAGAGAGAGAGAGAGAGAGAGAGACGCGCAACAACATCGCCTAGCTTGTAGCGGGGCAGATACATGAATATCTCCTTAGAGATCCTATTATCTCGCGATGTTTGCAGCGAGCGAAAAAACGTACGTATTTCGTCCGTTTGGAAAATATACGAAGGGAATTTTTGTTGAATAACATACCATATTTTGCATCCGTAATTGGAATGTATCCATGTTTAGGCAAAAATATATATGTTAAATAATTATTTAAGACTTTTAGATTTTCTTGATCAGGTTAAAACATAACAAATAGCTGACGCAAGTTGAACGTTGCGAGTGGAGTTTACTTTTTTATTTTAAGAATATCGTGTGAAAACTTCACATTATTACAATAACCTGACTCGAATACATTGTTAAAAATTTGATTGTCTTGCAATAGACATTTATACATTCCATGGGACGCGACAACAAAAATTCAATAAACTTAGAAACAGTTCATTATGCAGCTAAATACGTAGCTTTTGCTGTCGAATATTTTCGAAGATTTGAACCCATAATTTTATAAATAGCTATAATTTCTGTTTTACACACGGAGAGAAATTGTTCTTGCGTTAATGGACGTTACGAAGTTGCTTTGAAAATCATATGTAACTCGCAGAACTTCGTCGCGAAAGTATAGTTGATGCGTGAACAAAATCTCTACGTAATACTTGATTTACGCGTTTTCCAGATGTTCAGAAGTTAAAGTGGGACTTACAGTCGTAAGCGAGGATTAAGGCGGTAAGCTTATAATCGTCGGACGGGGTGGCTCGTTATAATTATCTAAAATTTGCCTGTGCTCCCTCTCTCTCGCGGCGTACTGATCACAAAGACCTCCCCCGAACTTCTTAGTTAATTTCCGGAAGCCGAACGAATTGTACACGGGCGGGTGGGAATTGCGAGTTTCGCGAAAGATAGATCTTCGCTCGAGGATTCATCGTGTTTACATGCAAATTTAGAGAAGCCTTTACTCATAAGATGATTTATAATTTTGTAAAAAATAATGAAAATTTCCTGTATAATCGACTGTTAATTTTTCCAGTATTTTACGTTTGTAAAGATACTAATATATATCCATCAAATTTTTTAATTGCTTCGTGTTCTATTTTTGTGCTCATTGAATCCGTGAGTTAATTGTCTGAAATATCGTAAAATAATAATTTTTAATATTGTAACATGCTCTCAACATATTGATTGCCGCGTTGATTAACTGTGCATTTGTCTTGTTCTTGTAGAAATTTCTTTTAGAATGTAGACATTCTGCTTGAAGCAACTACATCATTCAAAAAAGGAAAAAATATCTAGTAGATTTCAGATTATAAAAGTTCATTTCATTAGAACACTCTTTCGATAAAAGTTTTCTCTTAGAATATAGAATTACAAGAAATAGCACCTTGTAACTAAAATTCTTTTTTTTTTTTTATGTTAGAATATTTTCTCTTTGATTTTGCTAAGAATGATATTTTTTTTGGGTGCAGATTATTTTAATTACGTTAAAATATCCTATAAATGTAGAACGAAGGACCGCGTTTTTGGAGATTTATGTATGTTTAATGCATGCCTAGTGCTTGTGACTCCCCATTTTTCTTCTTTGTTAATGATGCGGTAAAAATAAATTTAATTCGAGACGTATTTTTTCCCAGTTCTCTATTGATCGTGGAAGTAATGTTTCAGAGTATACTTGATACGGAACTTAACGATACCACCGTGGTATTTGACATGTTAAAGAGCCGATACCGAGAAAAGACCGTTACACTTGTCCCCGGATGGCACTTGTCGTGTCGTCTACGACTGACCGCGCACAGATCGACCAGCGGGATGCTAAACAGCGCCGGCTGAAACTGCGCGACGGTTATTCATTGCGCTTTTCAAGAGGTACTATATTTCTCGTCCAGTCAGACCCGGGATTACCCGGAATGAACAGTCGAAAGCGCGACCTGTGTGGGGGCTTAACGTCGTTACGACGAAACATGAAATACGCGTTAAGCCGAAGATGACTATGCGCGTAATACACGCCGTCGCGCTGCATCAGGCCGCTCCGATGCATCCTTCGTAAGTAAGGAAACGACGCATTTCCGAAATGATGCACCCCCGGCTTTAAAGCTTAGAGAAGAACGGCACAATACACGGGTCTGTTTTATGGGTCGTGCATCATCTAAAATCTTTCGATTTTTCAGATGGAAAATGAATTCTTTATGAAAATAGTAAATTTCCTTAAACGCGAGGAATAATTCGAGTTGACCTTATTTCACGGTACATCATCTCTCACCAGGTTATTATTTTATCTTTATTATTTATTTATTTAATTTCTCTTCTCGGTCGACAATGCTTTGTCATCATTTGATGTTCTTCTTTCTCAGTTTTAGATATTTTCTTATTACTCGTTATATCGGCTGTGTTCATCAAAGGAAACTGCTTTGCAACTGTTGTAAAGTGGCTCTCTTCGCTCTGAATGCAGCTATTCTTTCCCTTAACCTTTAATAAAAAATTTATCAGCGACGGTGTTTATATCCGAAGAGAAAAGGATTAAAAGTTCCGTCGGGATCTCATGTCTCGTGACAATTTTCAGCGGATTAGATAATCTGCGCTATTCGAAACTTTCGTGGCATCAGCTGCATTCGCGATACTTTTGCTGCACTGTAACCAAGAGAATTGCGCGTACATGTCTTGTTCCGGAAGAAACGTCGCGGCACGGACGTCGAGTGCTAATGAAATTTCCCGGCGCGGTGTGTGTGCGCGCGCGCGAAAGGTGCAGCGGAAGGAAAGAATTATCAATGGACACGATAAGGGCGGTCGCGATGTATCACGGGCGCATGCTAGATTTGAAATGCAAAATTGCTTATACGTGCGCGTAAGCATTAATGCATTAACGAGCGATTCGATGCATTCCGAACAGAAAGTGAAGAGTGTGGCAACGTAACTGCAAAGTCACAACTGTTCACAATTATTCACAAATCTGTGCACAAGACGTGAGGACGCAAAAAATTTCAATAAGCAAATTTTGATATGTCAGAATGTAATGTGGAGAATATTATGTGGGGATCTTCCACAACGCGTCTTCCGACTCCTTCGTCTTTTCTTTTTTGCTAGTCCTTTCCGAGGGTGGGAGTCTCTTTCCGGGATCTCCCCGGGAAGTCCGCGGAGTCCGCGGAGTCGTTAGTTACGCCACAGTGATTTTCATACGAGGAATGTGAAACGCACACACCAAGTATTCCGTGCATTTGTATTCATAGGCAAACACCCATTACTGCCTAGCATTCGCGCGCTTATTTTTCTTACTCGCATTTCCATTAAACTCGAGGGTGAGGCCTAACTTAAAGGAGGTAATATATTTCCCTTTCTTTGTTACGAACGACTAAATTACGCGGTACTCTACCGGCAATTACCAAGTCAGCAACCCATTAAGTGAAGTGTGCTGCGATGAGAGGCGGAGGGGCGAGAAGAGTGGCGCGCCATTACTGAAATCTTTCTGCCCGGAATATAAAATTAAGCAGGAAGTCCGATACTCTTTCGAGTGTGTGCGTGCGAAAGAGAGAAAAAGAAGCTGCAAATTACAATTAAAGTTCACTCGGCTCCACGGTGTGGAAAAGAGACGACGACCACGACGACGACGACGACGACCACGACGACGACAACGACGACGATTGTGAGGAGGACTGACAATTGCGTTACGTGTCGACGTTCGTTTCGTTCCAATCGCGGATTCCCTTTGTCGTACGTTGACGTCGTTGTTAAACCGGAAAGCGGGCTCTATATGGAGATGATTGCGACGGTAATTAGCAAATCCTTTCCTCGGTCGAATGGAAAAGGCACGTCTCAGTAAAGAGCGCGTTTATCATCGAGATCGTCGCGCCGACAGTAAAAACAGAGGCGAGGACACACTCCTGCGTCCTCTCACCCTCTCCGCTATAACGTAGCGCCATTTTTATAACAGATGACCCGTCGGTCCGGATGCTGTGCCGGACGGGCACCGACAAATACCCACGCCACTGTAAAGTTTCGGGTTGGGCGCGGTCGACAAAAAAAAAAAGAGGAGGAAAAAAGAAGGGAAAGGGGAAAAAATAG